ACTTGTGCACACACAGTTCCACATGTTTCCAACATTGTTTAAAATCAGTGAAACCTGAAAATTATTCAATGTAATGGTGTGTTTAATTTTGGTTGCCTGCCAGTCGCATCAACACCAGTGTGGAAGGAAGCAATAGTGGCCAAAAGAGCTCATTTTTGCTCATTTATCACTGCAATATGAAGTCCTGCACTACACAGGCTCGTGACAGCAACATGAATCAGCAACGTTAGTCACTTGAAACGTGATTCAGGAATGTCACCGAGTGGAGGGAAAATATATCCTGTCACCCAGTGCAAATGTGTTTTTTTTTTTCTATCTGTGTGATAAGCTCTTCTCCACCATGAACTGTAATAAGTCAAAGTACAGGTCTGAACTTACTGATGAGCATCTTGAAGCCACACTGAGGGTCTTAACTGCTTCCTTCCTCAAGCCAAATGTGGCTCAGCTGTGTAACAGGAAGTGTAGGTAAGAGAAGCCGATGTTCTAAAGAACTGTTTATGTTCTGAATTGTTATTAATAAAGATTGAGAAGACTGGATCACTTGAACTTTTTTTTTGGAATACTTGAAACCCTTTTTTTTTTCGGAATACATGATGCGGCCCAGCCTCACCCAGACTCTACCTCCAGCTGCCCCTGGGTAAGTTGAGTTTGAGACCCCTGGTATAGATGTTTTACTGCTGTTTAACATGTGTCTGCTCTGTGTTAACACAGCCTGCAGCTCAGCCAAAAAGTCTCTGCATTTCTACCTCATGACTGCATGTTGCAGCTGAGTCACTGATGGCTTCTCAGTTGCCCCAAGGAGTGCAGAAAGTTTGTTTTTTTACAGATTTTAGTTACAGCCCACGGTTTAAGTGACACATGTAGAATAAAGTGATTTTGATGAAATATCCCAATATTAAGCTTAGCTGGCGATTCTGTCTGTTTCTACAGTTTATAGTCCTAATAAATGGTTTAATTAGGGCATTTTTTCATTTAAAAAAACATGCCTTTCCAACCTGTTGGCAGGTTTTGGGGTTCAGATGGTTAATAAACACCTGAAAAAAAGGCTTCATTTGAACTTAACCACCTCACATCACTTATTTATCAGGATACGCAGGTAATAATGTTGATGCTAACACAAAATAAAACTATCAAACAGTCTATAGAACCTTCTTACTGCTCTTGATGAAGTGTCTACCACTGGGACACACTGTTATCATTCTATCATCCAGGTCTAACAGGGATATCCATGTCTTTGCTGTGACTCACCTCCTCCTCTCTGCGTCCTGTGGGTCAGTCCCCGGTAGGCTGATCGTGATAGAAGACGGCGCCCCCACGTCGTATCTCTTTACCATCTTCCTGCACACTTTGATTTTCACCAGGGCAGAGTGGACGAGCCCCGCCAGCAGTCCGACAGCCGGCTGCAGCGCCTCAGGGAAGAAACTCGCAAAGGCGAAGTGATCGGACATGTCCCCGCGGCCACGGCTGTGCCTCTGGTAGAAGCGCAGGTAGACCCAGCCGGACAGCGCTCCATAGCTGAAGGCGGCCAGGGGGGCAGAGCTGTCGAGCAGCCCGGACAGGCGCAGCAAGGCCAGGAGGAGGAGGACCAAAGCCGGCGCTGCTTTGAGCCTCACCTGAGATGGAAAGGGGAGAAAGATTTTAGTCCTTCATCATCAGGGCAGCTACCATTTTGTCTGCAGACCACCTTGGCTGATGGCTCCCATAATTCATTCAAGCCAGCGAGATTCAGAAATGGGAACAGCAAACAATAGCTGGTGACACGCCAGAGGGACAGGCGGGAGCCATGATCAAAACAGTCCAGTGTTTGAATAGAGTTCATTTCTGAACGTGGTCAGCTGAAGCGAGGGGCGTTAGAGTGAAGCAACCCGGTTTATACAGATTCATAACAACCAAAAATAAGGGAATATAACGCAGAGCAGCCTGGAAGTTTAGGGGCTACATTTGGACCGTGTAGCCAATCTGTGATTAAATCTTTAAGATCTCATATTGTGGCGACTAATCAAAGTCTCCCATGTGTCACAGTGAACTTTTCCAGCTCAACATACTGAACACTGAACAGTTCATTTTATCATGACTGTACAACTCCTTGATTCAGGCCTAAAGTGGGAACACAAACCAAGCAGAGCAAACACTCAACAGATCAAACATTGACCTATAAACCACTGGCTTATATGGCTTTAATAACACAGTAGGATCACTATATTTGACTGGCCAATATGAAAGTGTGCTCATAATATGATCAATATGTTTTAGTATATAACACTGTCGTAATAAAAACTAATTGGAGAAAGTTCTACTTGAATGCAGCAAGAGTAAAAATAACAAAAAAAAAAACATAACAGAGCAAGTTTCACCATTTAAATGAGCAACATGATATTTTACTCTCTACTCCAAGGCTGAAATGTCAAACAACTCGGAGATTCATCCCACGACGGGACTTTTCCTGACTCAGAACAGACCTTTGATGGGTGACTACACACTCGAGCTGAGAAATTAATCAATTCCTAATTAAAATGGCAATCTGAAACAATGACATTTGCACAATACAAACACTACGGTTTAGGATATGTGTGCATCTGAGGCTGGGTTTGAACCCTCCTGCCAGCGGTTTCACAAATTCTCTGCTTGTACGACAGCCATACTTTTGATTGTAACTTGTGGTAATCAGATGTTAGAAAGTTGATGGCGTGCCACAATTGCCTCGAGGGTGGAAAAACACTGCACTGAAAAAAAAAACAAACAGTAAACACAAAGATCTGACACTTATATAACAGTCCTGCAGCAGCTAAGAATTCTTTAAGGCTTATAATTTGGTCGTTCTCGTGACTGTTGGAGGTGTTGACTCATTTTCAAGTGTCTTTAGGCAAAACGAAAGGCATCTGAAAAATGTACGTTTCGTAACAAAACCACAAACAACAAAAAAGTAAGAACTCTAACATGATGGGGGGTCACTGAATATGAATACAGTGTCTTGCACTATACTCTGCCTTCCAGCCTGTGTCAGCTGGGATCAGCTCCCACCCCCCAGCAACGCTCTGGAGGATAAAGTGTTAAGGTTTCCACGGCTGTTCACAATCTTGTTCGAGCACATTCTTGGTTCATCTGTACTGCTTCGCTCCTCAATCACTTGGAGTTTTTAACAGAAGCACACCTCTTGTTAAGTAATACTGCTGCAAAGCAAAAATTCTTTTATTAGTCAACCTCACCTGTGGGACTCTGAGCACTGTGGTGTCCCCCATGGTCTGCTTCAGCGCCACCAGGACGCCTCCGAGGAACCCGGCTGCTCCGTTAACGCGCACAGCAAACAGGAAGTGCAGGTCAAAGGTGGCCACATAGGTGAGGAGGTAGGAGAGGCCCGCCAGGAGGCCTGCGGACACATTAACCACTGCGAAAAAGATCAGGAGCTCCAAAGCGCCCCACAAAGGCTCCAGCAGACGCCCGCAGGCCATAACTGTCCCCACATTGGCCGCCACCCCCCAGACGTGCTGCTCCACCACCCCATGGGTCACCAGCGTCCACACCCAGAAGTTGGGTGGAAAGAGGTATCCCGGGGTCACCCCCAGTACGTACGGAGTGTCGACGGCCCATGACAGCAGGTAGAGGAGAACCACCACAGCGCTGATAGTTTTTACCACCACACTTGTGCTGGCAAGGGCCGCCAGGAAGTGCTGTCGTGCCACGGGCAGGTAACGATTCATGGTGGCGTGTTCTGGCGGGGCTCCTCCTTGAGCAAATCAGCCCAGGGAGAGAGAGAAAGCAGATCTGTTGCTTCTGTCGTGGCAGTCCTTGGATGCTGGTGTGACTTTAATAATGCCAAGCAGAACAGGAAACAGCTGGGAGTCCTGAGGGCATCAAAATCCACACCTCTCTGTGAGCCTTCATCCGGGATACCGTCTGACAGGTGGGTGAAGTTTGCTCAGGTATTCCTTCTGATCAAGTCTTTCTGTTAAGATTCTGTGCGATAGATCAAACTTCTACAACACATCTAACTTTCTGTGACATTCACAGAGTTAAGGACAGAGGTAAACAAGCAGCCAGGCTGTTTCTCACAGTTCAACAAGGTGACAAACTTTGGGCTGCAGTAGATAAGCCTTAAGATGTGATAACCTCAGCCAGGGGACCTTTTGATGTAGCCGTCTAGCTGGCGACCTTCAGTCCGGTGTAGACAAAGGTGGAACAGCCGCACAGACCACTACCGGCCGGCAGAAAGGCGGTAGGAGCCAAATATGCAAATGTTAACTGAAACAAACATACCTAATGCCAACTTCCTTCGAGGATCCCGGCTGAGTTAGCTTGTAAACACGGGGGAGCTAAGGTTAGCTAGCTGTCAAGCTGAACGCTACAATGATTTACATTCGCTCCGGACGAGCAGGAAAGAGATACCGTCTTTGTTTGAACGTCATAAAAAAGGGCAGCTAGCGTCGGTAAAACCTGCTGGATGAACACAGCCCCGCGGAGCTCCGGTCCTCGGTCCCCTGCGCTCGCTCGGCCCGGTGTCTACCGGGGCCAGTCCGAGGATTTCCCGTAGCTAGCAACAGGCCCTCAAAACAATGTTAGAGGCGCCTCGGAACCGGCTCCAGTTCGCGTGTAGTTGACAGGTTCCTCATAGTAACTCGGCTTCACTCCTTTATTTTATTGTTTCCGTGTCTTTCGGAAGCAGCTCGCCTATTAAATGATGTTTTATATCTCAGCAGGCACTTCTCCTCCCAGGTCCACCGCTCAGCTAACTGACCTGCGCCGTCTGCCACCGTCATCAGCGGTCGGTGAAAAAACGTCAAGTCACGTAACTCCTGAGCAGCAGAGCATTCTGGGAAACTGAGTTCTTACACACGGCACACCAGCACCCCTGTAGTGTGTGATGAAAACAGGTTTATCTGGGGCAACATTTTTGGGTAGAGGAACTTTTATTGGTATTTTTTCCCATTCAGCTTTATTCATGCTCTATTTTGAATTTTATTTATCACATTTGTTGTGTAAAGTATGATAAAAAAAAAAAAAAAAAAAAGATAAGCCTTTGTTTTATTATCAGGAAAATCCGCAGTCTTACAGCAGCTAAGGGAATAGTGCAATAATGTCGGGACAACACAATAATACTAAACTAGACACATGCTGTAGAAATATGTAGAAATTCAGATACTGCACAGATTCATTTGATTGTGGAAAACATCCAGTATTGCAAAAGGTTATTTTTTTATATCGCACAAATTCCTCCATAAGTTGTAGATACTGATAGGGCACATATTCTCATGATGTCACATAGATTCTTTTCTATGTAGAAAACATTTATATTCTTCATCCATCCATCATCTATACACTGCTTAATCCTCACTAGGGTCATGGGGGGTCGACTTAGGTCAAAGGACACCCTGGACAGGTCACCAGTCTATCACAGGGCTACACTTAGAGACAGACAACCAAGCACACTCACATTCACACCTACGGACAATTTAGAATCACCAATTAACCTCAACATGTTTCTGGACTGTGGGAGGAAGCTGGAGAACCAGGAGAGAACCCACGGTGCACAGGGAGAACATGTAAACTCCGCACAGAAAGATCCCGGGTGTCCTTACCGGGATGCGAATCGGCGACCTTCTTGCTGCAAGGCAACAGTGCTACCAACTGGCCACCTTTCAGCCCTATATATTTATATATATAGAAGAAAATCAACATTATTCTAAAGGGGACATCTTACTCTACTTTTAGGAATGGAATGTTTTTACACTGTGGTAGGCTTTTGTTGATATGAAACTAAATGTAAAATCTTGTAAGGGGTGAAGAAGCCCCCAGGGGGAGAATCCTACCTCACCAATCATAAAATTAACTTTATTTACAAAACGTTGATGTTGTTCTGACTTTAATTGCTGTTATAGTTTATATATATATGATTACATATATATATCATACTTGCAATATTTATAATTATCAATGCTGCAATGAAACAAAACAACACAGATTCATTCATTTTATTCTGAACCATAAGAATTCACATCACATTTACCAAAAAACAGACAAACCACATACAAACAGGCTGTAACAGGGAACAGGGACACAGACCAAACAGCAACCTTCAGTTTACTAACGATCTCATGCATCACCTCATAAAAAAAGCTGAAAAAAAATCATGTGTGATGAAATTCGTTGCGCTTCGGCCCAAAATGAACATACATCAACTTTAGAGACAACTTGGACACTCATGCAGTGTAAAAATGCAGCTGCTCTTCTCTTCAGCCTGATTTTTTACCGGCTCATGACTTCAAGAACTCCAGTTTATGAATTTGATTTGGAGGCACAATTTCTTTCTAATTCCTGCTCATACTTATGTGGTGGTAATTTTGCAGTCATTGTGGCCACCCAGTTCTGCAGAAGGTATTTAGGTAGCTGAGTTAATTCAGTCGTTGGCCTTCTGTGTACAGGACATGCATTAAATGAAACAACAAAGTCACTGCTATCACTCCGATACCTCACAGTGGAAATCTGCTCTTAGTCACTGAAGTGAAAACAACAAGCCAAAAACTCCACCAACTCCCAAAATCGATGTGAATTTTAGGGCTGATCTGCCCTAAATATGATTTTAAGGTTTTCAGTTTGCACATTTCTGTAACCTATGAAAATGGCTTGTTTTTTGGAAAATCTCTCCCACACAGAAACTCCGCCGTTTGAACAACTATTTATTTAAGTAGGACATGGAAAGTGGACCAGCACAAACTGAACCCAGATTCCCAGATTTCTCCCTCCATGTTACAGTCCATCAATCTTACCGCTGCAACATCAGAGCAGAGTAATCAACTATAATTCACGTCAGCTATTTTTAGCTGACCTCATTTCTGCTGCACAGTGTGTTCATCTTGAAAAAAGAGAAACTTTTGGTGGTGCATTTGGTAATTTATTTCAACTATTTGGCTTGGATTAAATATCCATCCATTATCTATACACCACTTAATCCTCACTAGGGTCATGGGGGGGGCTGGAGTCTATCCCAGCTGACTTAGGGTGAAGGCAGGGGACACCCTGGACAGGTCACCAGTCTATCACAGGGCTACACTTAGAGACAGACAACCAAGCACACTCACATTCACACCTACAGACAATTTAGAATCACCAATTAACCTCAACATGTTTTTGGACTTTGTGGGAGGAAGCCGGAGAACCCGGAGAGAACCCATGCTGCACGGGGAGAACATGCAAACTCCACGCAGAAAGATTCCGGTGCCCCCACTGGGACGCGAACCGGCTTGGATTAAATATGTTTCACTGATGTATCATTTTGAGAAATCCAGTGCTCGTATTCATGTTGTGTGCAAAGAGAAAGAACATAAAACAGCTTTAGCTATGTCATATTTTTATGTAGAACACCTGTTATTTCTGCTATAATTTGCAAAGGGCTCTCAAAGATCAAATAATAGAATAAAAGTCAAGTGTTCCAGATTCTGCAAGGCTGAGTGCTTTTGGGCCTTTTAGGTGAATTTTCTTTTTTTTAATTAGCTGAACATGATGCTGCAGTTTGCATTCCGCTAGTTGATTCTCACTTTAGATACACCTAACCGACAATAGACATGCAAATACTGTTGATTACTGTGTTAAAATTGCACAAACATGGTATGGTTGTGTATATTTCACAGGGTTTGGTTGAAGGCAAACTAATTTTGTCGTGAAACCGAAGATCTTGGATGTTGACTTTCCATGTTTTCGACGTGTGTTTGTGTGTATGGAGAAGCAATGAAGTGGAATTCAACTGATAACGTAAAGAAATTAGGAAAAGTATTATTTAGAACATGTTTCTTTTTATTTACAAACTTCAAAAAAACAAAACAAAACCAAAAAAAAAAGGATCTAAAAGTAATCCAAGGTCATACACATTATCCATCGATAATCTACAAAACAGACTTTGACTGGAGCCAATCCTCAAAGACAGCAGATTTTAATCTCCTCTCCGCTAAAATGGAATTCAGATGGTCGGCTCGGCTTGTCCGACGCAAATCAACTTGTATAAATAAATATGTAAATTCAAGTAGAAAGCTGTGAAACTAAAGAGCAGTCAGTCTGCCGAGCTGACAACCAAAACAGTTCAACACTGAGGAAACGCGTTTCGATGGACAGTTCTGATGATATGGTAATGGACCATTAAACAAACAAACAAAAAAGCGAAGAAAAGCACTTGATATCATTGTTTTCTTTTCAGCGGATGAGTGTTTGGACTGCCTCTGACCCACTACTTGTGACTTGAGCTTACATGCACACAAATGGCTCATATTATTCAGATTCAACACTTACATTTGTACCCCAATTATCTGAGCTCATATAGATCAGAAAATCCCTGGTGTTATGTTATTTTTGGGTTTCTTATCAGTCGTATTTAATCTATCCTGATATTCAACACCTTAATCGGTTGGTCCACATGCAAGTTCTGCACAGTTTCACATGTGTTGGGTCAGACTGGCTGATCATCAGTTCTCAAAAAACAAAAACAAAACAAAAAAAAACCATCAAACACAAAAAGAGCATCTGTAGTAACAACAAAAACTAATATGACCGGAAAATTCTCGCAAACAAGATAATGAACGAACAAATGGAAACCAAAAAAAAAAAAAAAGACATTGTACAAAAATAAAAATACAAATGAATAAATATGCACCATCATAAATAAATTAATTTGGTAAATTCAAACATTGTAAAAAGAAGAGAGCCAAAAAAAAAAAAAAAGAAACATAAGTAAACTAACAGTTTCAGTACAGAGAACAAATACATGGAAGAGAAAAGAGCGGGAAAAGAGAAAAGAGCGGGAAATGATAAAAAGAGCGGGAAATGCTTAAGTCTTTGCTCGATGATGTTTCAACTAAAGAGCTAGTGGTTTTTAAAGCTCCTGCTGCAGCCTGTTTTGGAGAACAACAGCGATGGCCAAAGCAGATGGAACAGTAAGATGATCTAAGGGGGAACTTGGTCACACGATTAAGCTTTTTCCAGCTTTCAACCAGACTGTGATGTATACAGATTTGTGTCTCTTTGACAAGTGCAGCACAGTGTGGATATGTACGTCTCAACTGTGGCTGTGAGGATGCTGTAGAGAGAGGAACAAGCGTGTCGCTGTGGTGGATTTTAATTCTGCTCTGCCACATTATTTGGTCTCTTAAGACACAATCCTCTTTGACGGAGGTTTCTGATGTGCTTGTGCATTTCTTTTTCTTTTCTTTTCATTTTTTTTATTTGGCGAAGCTACACCATCTCCCCTGAAAAAAAAAAGGTTTGGTTTGCTCAACAAAATGTGATGTAAAAGAAAAAAAAAAAAGGAAAACCAGCAGAGCAGAGGTGAAATCTGTGCCAAAAACAAGTTACCAAACCGAGTAACACAAGTTTCTATTTATATATCTTTTAAATGATTCCTTTTGTAACCCTTAAAAACACGACACGCAGACACGAACACAGTAACGACACGAGCGTAACCAAAAGAACTCAGGGTTTGCGGGCTCAGTTTCCTCCAGGGGTTCGTTGTACAAATACATATATAGGCTTGAGTGAGTGTTTTGCATCGTTTTTCACTAGGCTACAGTAAGACTGCGGGTGAGATTCAGAGAGCCGCCATGACCGTCTGTCTCTCTTTACCTCCCCTCTCTCACAGTTAACATTCAGAAAGATGGAGGCAAAAAGGCATTTTCTGTTGGTTGTTTTTCTCCGCTACGAGGAGGACACGTCACTAGTTTTTTTTTTTTCTCTGTTTCACCTGGCTGTTTTTTTTTTTTTTTTTTAAAGTAGGCAATCATTTTCTTTAAAAAGTCGATTACATAAATAGAAAATACATACACACACACACACACACACAAAAAGAAAAATCATATCTTCCCATGTCTGATGCCTAAATAGGAGTCTTTTCAAAAAGGCCTGGTATAAAGGCATTTGATTAAGCGTACATTCTTTTAAAGTTTCGGTTAATGTCTCAAACCTCATCCTCAACAATTGTTTCTTCAATAATTCAACATGATCCCGTTTCTTTTTTCTTTTTTATCATCTTCATGAACCTCTATCCTGGCAGTGAATTATCAAGTTCAATCAAAATGCTTTCTAAAAGGTCGGTTTGATCTGCTAACCATTTCTTTTTTTTTTTTTAAAGAAAATATTCAGTAGCAATATTCAACAAGTGACAAACAATACCATTTCAACAGATTTTTTTTTTAAACTACCAGCTAACTTAATTGTCAAACCTTTTGTTTGTTTTTTTTTTATTATAAGCAACTTCCACCCAGCTGTCGTCTTTTTAATTAGCTGAAAGCAAGAGTCTCAACATCTAGCAAAGCTGCAGAACTAGAATCTCTAAAGTTGACAGTACAACTAGTGGCCGTTTGTGGTCACTGCAGGTCCACACTCAGCAGTACTCAGTCCAGTGATTAGCATCGTAATGCCAGTAATTGGACAAAAAAAAACAAATTAAAAAAAAACAAAAACACTTGGAAGCCCAAAGTCCTCTGATTTCCATTTTCACCTTCCCTCTGGAGCTTTTATCAGGTTTCATCTTCTGGTTATTCAGCATCAAGATTTGTCGCTCGGTGTCCAGTCTGATCTCCGTTCAGACTGTTTTTGCAGAGACGACCGGAGGAAACACTTCATCAGGGGCTCAGTTGTCATCACCGTCTTTCATCTTTAGTCCAATTTCCCTCGAGGCTTTAACTACAGCCTCTTTGAAACCTGCGTCCTCGCAAATAGGGTGTCGTCCTATTTGGACGATGACTAAATTGCTGAGAGCTTTCTCAAGAAACCGCGTCGTTCTTCTGTCACTGGCCCCTAACTTCAATCACATCGTCGTCGTCGTCGTCATCTGAGCTGCTGACGCTGCTTACGTCCCCGCTGTTCACCAGAACCGGGCCCCGGTGGCCCTCAGATCGTGCCGATGGGGAGAATGAGGAAGGGGAGGATGAGGAGGAGCTGGAGGCGGCGGTGGGAGGGTACTGGGACAGGAAACTGGCTCCAGCGGGACCAGGAGTGGCGGCTGGACCCGGCAGACCCCCCGGCAGCATCGAGCCTGAGTAGAGGCTGGCCAGGGATGGGCTGTAAGAGAGGGGGAAGCCTGGAGGCAGCATCCCGGCCATGCCAGCCATGCTGGGGCTCAGCATGAAGGGAGGCAGGGCTCCTGGAAGGGAACTGGCAGCTTTGACTGGGGCAGAAGATGAGGAGGAAGATGAGACCACAGAAGCGGTGGATGTTGTTGATGACGGGGAGGAGGAGGAGGTGATGACAGTGCTGGCTCCGCCCAATCCAAACAGATCTGCGTACATGTAACTGGGGTCGCCCAGCTGAGCGTGGGGGGGCTGGAAGTAACGTGAGCCCACCCCCATGAACAGCGGATGCCCCAGAGAGCCGCCCAGCATGGCAGAATTGAGCCCCATGGGGGGGAGGCCGTAGCCCCCGGTGAAGGGGAAGCCTTGTGAGGCCAGAGGGGCTGAGGAGTGTTTACCGGTGGAGGGCTGCTTGCTGGCTCGCTCATCCAGGGACGGGGTGGAGGCTTTGCGCTTGGAGCCCGTTCTCAGGTCCTGGGCGGTGGTGGCGTCCATGTTGGGCTGGATTACGTTGGTCACAGAGGCATCGTGGTGGCTCATGTTTCCACCAGTGAAGCTGCTCCCGGTGCTGCTGTTGGTGGGTTTGGTGGGGGGCGGGTTGCTCTCTGCTGCCTTCTCTGGCTGAGCGGCGGACCCCGCAGAGCCTCCAGACCCTGGGACACCCGCGTAGCGCTGCAGCTCGTTGAGTATCTCCGGGCCGTCGGGCGAAAGAGGGCGGGGCAAAGGCTTGGAGGCTGCCTGCTGCTTCCTGTCAGGTGACAGGCAACCGTTGCTGCCATTGGTTGAGACCTCCTGAGGTGGGGTTTGCGAGCCTGAGAAAAGCAGAAGAAATGGATGTTAGCAGGAGAATAAAATGCTTAGACAGGCTGAGTTTACATCAAGAAGATCATAATGTTGGCAGTAGTTTCCTCAGCTCAGTTCGATAACTTTCCAAACACAAGCTGTGAGATTGAACGGCACATTGTTTGTCCTTTTCTACACAGAATAATACCGACAGGACTCTCAGATTTTATCTTCCCAACTGTCTTTCAAAGTACTATCTTGTCAGGAAAATTAACCAAATCTAGGCTTAAATATCAAAATCATCTTATTCTACATATCTGATTTTAAAATTTGCCAAATATAGCGCTCCTGGTCACCATCCTGAAGTCATGGATGATAGTTTTTGGTGTGGAAGAATGTTGGTCATGTTTATTCCAGTTTTTTTTTTTTTCCCCAGATTTTGTAAAATAAATCACCAAAAAACTCAACGGTTCTTTTTTCTTTTTAATGATTTATCGCATTCTAACTTTATTTTACCACATAGAACACATTTCTGGGTTCTCCCTCCATCTAGTCATGGTTTGTTTTTGGGTTTCAAGGTGCAGGACTTTATATTGCAGTGAAAAACGCCACAAAACTGTTTGAGGTTCAGAGGGTTTAAGGCAATATTTTTACATCTATGCTTTTCTCAGTTCTGGTAGATAAATCCTCGTACCTTTGGGTGGCGCTGTTGTACTCTCCTCCACTGCCTTGGCCTTATTAGCTGCTCTGATGGCAAAGATTCGGCCATCGGACGTCCTGATGTAAGTCCCTAAAACAGACACAAGGGAAGGAAATTTTCAGTAAACACAAAAACTTTATTAAAAAAACAGCGAACAATCGTCCTCATAGTTTTCTTGCTAACTGACTAAATGAAGATATTTTGTTTACTATCATATAAGAAAAGCAGTAAATTCTCACATTTCCAGAGTCTAATAACGGTGTATTGTACCTTTTGTGCCCCTGATGACGTGAATACTTTCTCCAGCGGTGATTCTGGCCTGGACATCTGTGGAGCTGTTGGTGCCTGGAATCACGATGTCTACAAGAGACCAAGAAATTCAAATTATTTGGAGGAAAAAACAGTTAAAAGGGTGGTGTAAAGAAACATTTTAAAACACGGAGTGCATGCACAGTTTGCCTACCGGTAGTGGTGACAATTTTCTGCACAAACACGCCGGCTTTTTGCAGGCAGTTGACCGGGAATCCTCCGAGGCTGGAGCTGGAGGAGTCGTTGTCCGGGGCAGAGCCAGCCGTCGCCTGGCGGGGCATCATGGGAACAGGGGTGGACTGGACCGGCCGGACGCTGGTCACCGGCTTCTCCTCAGTACGAGTGGGAGGACGCCTGAGCGGGATTTTTAAAGCAGGTTTAGATGTTTACTCCTGACGGAACCGTGTGAGATGTTGAGAGAACTTTGGCTCACTAACCAGTTCCTCTGACTGAAGGCGGGGATGTTGGTGAGGCTCTGGTCGCTGGCTGGGTAGTAGTGAGCATACGAGGGGCGGGTGTACGGCACCGAGGCCCTCTTCTCCTCTTCGTAGCCCTTCTTGGCGGCCTTCTTCTCGGCGTTGCTCAGCTTCAGCTCCCTGCGGTCCATCAGCAGCGACTCGTGAGGGAACGGTTGCTGGAAGAGACGAGGGAAGCTGATGTTAGACTTCCTAATGAGCTTCGTTCGTTCTTTAACGCAGACATCTCGTTCCACTTGCAGAAAACTTTGCATGCCACCGTCTAAACGATCATGTTCAGCAGCTCACACCGATGTGCGGCAATAAAAACACACCAAAAGTGGCAAGTGGGGAACTCTAATTACCACATGACTCACCGCCTCTCCAGCACCTCACAGCCTATTTAAAACGCTGTAATAAATATAAAGCAAAGTGTATTTGCAACCGCTCCCACTTCAAATACGTTCTAAATATGCATTTTGGCGGTTACCTAAGGAGGCATTCAGTGTTTTTATTAAGCTGCAATGACAGTCAGTAGCTGTTTGTCAGTCATTTCTGGTAAAGATGATCTACAAGTTCTTGGAAAATGAGTTTTCAGCTTCAAAAGACAAAAACCTGCAGACTTGGAGGCAGTGAAGCAGACAAAGTAGTCCCATGTTTTAATGACCTCTAGATGGCGTATAAGGATGCAAAAGCCTCCTCTGTTCATTTACCTTGGTGATCAGGTGGGAATAACGGCACAGAGCCTTCCCGAGGACGCGCTCCATCTCCTCCCGAGGCTGCAGCAGCACCTGGGAAGGATCCGGTTCCTCCTCCACGAAGTGAAGAAGAGACTCGACCTCCTTCCTGGTGAAGGTCAGCACGGGGTTCAGGTCATCCACCACACGGTCTGATGGAGAAAGAGCAGAAAATATAACATTAAAAATCTGATCTGGAGTTGGAATTAACACAAAGGAGGATATAAGAAAACATGGAGCCAAAAACTTAACAGATGGCAAAATGAGCAAAGAGGGAAGCGGCTCATTTTCACTGACGAAGCATCGGTGGCCTCAATGTGTCTCTCAGCAGTCAAAGCTTAGAGCAAACACTTGGGACAGTTTACTCTGTCAGACAAGAGCCTCTTAGCAGAAGAGCTGCGGCTTCAGCACAAAGCTGATTATTTAGTTTTGGGGGGTCTGTTCACACAGAAGGGTTCACACTGAGGTTTCCTGTAAGTGATTGCTGGCAGATGTTTGACAGAGTCGGGCTGAGTGACTCAGGGAAAATACCTAACTGGGTTTTTTCTGACAGATACTGTGATTGGATTTAAGATAGTTAAAGCTTCTGTGTGACTGAGGACATGTGAGATCTCATCCAACATGTGCCTGTCAAAGAAGGAAGTTGGCATGAATTTGTAAAGCGCTCACATGTCTGAATAAATCCTGCGTCAGATGTGCTGTGAAACGCATATCCTGAATTGTTGGCTTTAAGATTTGCTAATTGCATGGTTTGTATAGTCCTGCATCTCTATGGAAACAGCACAACCAGAACAAGAGAGAACTCAGACCTGTCTGTCGTGCAGGAACACACAGTCATAATGGCATAAATCATAAATAAAGAAGAAAGAAAAACCTTGAATTTCTTTGATTCTACAAAAAAAAATGTAAAACTAAAATCAACATGTGCAGCATTTTGAGCCCACAGCTGTTACTGACACAGGCGAATAAATACTGACTCTACATACTATAGATATTTTACATTTTTGTTTTGTTTCTATACTCGTCCTCTATCTGTTCTGATGAACACAGCCTGAGGTTCAGTCGAAAAGTCTCTGAGTTTTAGATAGGAGCTGTTTTTTTACCTTTGACATGTTTCAGTCTTCCTCAGAATAACCACCAGCTGATAAAGACGCCACATGACGTTTCTGAGGAAGACTGAAGCGACAGTCGAAACATGTCAAAGGTTAAAAAAACACAGCTCCTATCTAAAAAAAAAACAAAAAACAACTCATTGTCTGATGAAAAAAAGAAACCTTATACCTATAATCAGAGTAGACAAAATGAACCCAATCATGCTATTATGAAGATTGTTTTGTTTTTTACAGAATCTGGTTAAAACAAATGGTTAATTGTTGGTGAACTTATTAAACAGGACATGTGGAATAAAGTGATATCATGATTTTAAGCTTAGATCTGGTTAAGTTTCCTACAAAATAACAGATAACTAGTTCAAGAGCTGTTGGACATGTGATTATTCTTTTAGCTTTCTGGTTCTAGTAGATGGTGTAATTATGGTGATTTTTAAATATAACTTCGAAACCCACTGTTGTGTTTTGTCTCAAGGCAGTAAAATCTACATGCATTGTACATAAAGTATATCTGGTGCAACTGCAACTGAAATGTTGGTATATGCAATAGGAAATTCCACATACAGGATGAGCTGTTAACGCTGCCATGCACACATTTTTGGGAAAGTTCTGTGGTAGTATTATGACAACCTCTGTGTCCACACTTGAACTATCCTGTAGGGCTGTTTCATGTACGTGGTTGTTTCTTCCAGACATACCTGACATGCCCTGCTTGGAGATCTGTCGGTCATAGATCTTCTTCTCCAGCGTGAAGTCGCACACCAGCCGGTAGATGTGACACGGCTTCCTCTGTCCGTAGCGATAGACGCGACACACGGCCTGAGCGTCGTGGCACGGGTTCCAGGAGGCGTCGAAGACCACCACGCGGTTCGCTCCGATCAGGTTCACACCGAGGCAGCCGGCCCTGAGAGCCACGCAGAAGATCGGCAGTGAGTCTGTGTTTGTTCAGTGTTTAATATTCATCTTCAGGAGCTAAGACGATCAGGCTTGTGTGTTACCTGGTTGACAACAGGAAGACCCACGCTGAGGTGTTGGAGGGATCATTGAACTGGTTTATCAGTCGCTCTCTCTCTGAGGCCGTTGTGCTTCCATCCAGTCCTTCAAAACACCAAATAAAACCCAGTTAACAGAGTTTTTAGCAGCTTTACGTGCTGTGATGCTTCATCAGTTGTCTTAGTCCATTTCATTTCATGCGTTTCTCATTTTAAGGGTGCTCTTTCACTGATTTCACCAACTCTGATTCCTTATACGCTCTTGTAAGTAATATATACATAAAGAAATGTGAACATAATACACAGAGAAAACGAGCTACAATTGACTAATATAAACTTGTAACATCACAATCAATCGTCTAACACCTTTAGTTTGGTGAATTTCTAAAGAAAAGTCTTTAAATATTCCCCAAACAGCCAAAAAAAGCAAAGTTGTGAATGTTGCTGCTTGTGGACAGTCATGAGAAAGCGCCAGCAGGTGGCAGCACTCATTGGAAGTCAATGAGAAGTTGCACAAGTGTAAAAAAAATAGAAATCTATGTGTTGAGGAACATTTCCCATCAAAAAGAGCAGATTTATCAGTTTAGTTTATCATAGTCAGCGTTTTAGTTCATCACAACATACAGATGTGTTCATTAAGCTGAGCCACGCCTCTGTCTCTGGATTTAAAAGTTTTTATTGACTGAATCACTGAGCAGCATCTTTAAATCCTGATTAAAGAGGACTTACTGTAGTAGTTAAGATTGCGGACCCAGGTCTGGTTGGTTCGGTCCCGGCTGGTTGCGTTGGGCGACGGAGGCATCGGCCTCTTCGCCAGAAAATCCTCGATCACCGTGAGCGTGGACAAACTCTGACTGCAGGAGGAAAAAAAAGCAGAATCAGGGATCAGATCACATCCAAATGCGGCACAAACCAGCATTTAACAAGCAGAAAGTAAAGCCGAGAACAGCTGCAGCAAAGAGACAAATGTAACATGAAACACTTTTCTCTTTAAACTGAGGATAAAACATCTGAGATCTAGTGTTCTACCTGAAGACGAGGAGTTTGTCTCCCTTCCTGACGCTCTCCTCGATCAGGTGGAACAGCAGCACCATCTTTGCTGAGTTCTCCAGGATGCCGGGTTTGTAGTCGCACATTATGTCCTTGGCCTGGTCGTGTGAGAAGAGAGAAAAGGTTTAAAACTGCTTGTAGATCAGCTGGTTAGAGGCTGTTCTCATTTAGGCAACTTTACTTTGAAGAAGTGGGCCACAAACAAGTGCTGAAGTGAAGTTCTGGGCCAGAAAGTATTAAAAATTTTCATATACGTCGATATTTTTTAAGCAGAATCACTGAAAACTTGCTTCAGGACAAATGCAACTCCAACCAGAAAGTGCTAAAGGGCTCATAAACATCTAAACGTGGCAGCTTTAATCGTAATTAAAACTATGAACGTACCCATTCGTAGGTGATGACCTGGTTGGCTTTCTCCTGCAGCTGGTTGAGGCTCAGTCCACCGATGGGGTTTGGGTTGTCCAGGCTCTTGGACTTCTGATTGGACGCTGGCGGACAGCGGTTATGACCCGAGGAGGTGATGTCGTCGAGGTCTAAATCTTGGTCACTTGCCATGTTTTCCTTCTGCAAGGCCTCGTACAGAACGTCTGGGTGGTTCCAAATCTGTAGAACAACATTCATTTGTGTTTGGTGAAATACATCTACAAGAGCTTATCTACATGACTGTTGACTATCTGAACCATACAAGGCATGTTTTCTTTAAAAGAAATGGCCAAAATTGCATCATTTATCAAAGTAAAAACAGAAAGAAATAATTAGATTTTCAATGTTTCTGCTTTTTGTTTTGTTTCTAAATGGAAAAATACATTTTAAAAATGACATTTCATCAACATTACTTCATACTACATGTGTCGAATAAAAAAAAGTCCCAAAAAAGAACCCTTGCCATTATCCTTATACTGGAAAAAACAACAAAGTTTGCTCTTCTAGATGCAACCAAGAACCTATGAGTGATTCAGCTGCGACTAACAGTCACGTGACAATAATTCAGGGACGTTCATCTGAACTGCAGGTTGTGTTCACACAGAGCAGATGGGAGACAATTATAAAATAAAATGCAAGTAGTGAATTACCTACAATATGTAAAGTCAACGACACATTTCCCATCATATTGATAAGACTTGTGGACTCTTAGAAGAATGTTGTGCAAGTTGATTTTAATTGTGTTTTTGTTAAATAAATAATCAAAGAAATTATAGATATTTTATGGTATTATAACTTCCAGCTTTCTGATTTCTCTCTACTTGTAGCCATTTTTGTTTTATTTCCAGTGAAAAATGAACCCACAGTGAGTAAAAATGTAAAAGGAGCAACAAAAAAAACTCCCACAAACTGCCCGAAGTTCAGCTGATTAAATAACAACTTGTGTAATAGAGCTGCAGTAACTCATACAGAACATGTAGAAGCAGTTTTGGATGTTTATCCTCTAATTGTTTTGAATTTAGCCAAATTAACAGTTTTTCTGCAGTTTTGGACCTCCAAACACACGATCTCCCTGCTCACCTTGCAGCAGACACAGAAAGCCTTGAGCGGGTTGAGGCTGAGCCAGCCGGTGTTTCCTGCCTCCCTGAAGCGGTTCATGAACTCGGTGTAGAGCGCCCTCTGCAGGGGAGACAGGCGCACCAGGATCACATGCTCCTCCTTAGAGGGCAGCTGGTCCTTCAGGACGTCGTGGCCTCGCCTGGAAAACAAAGACACGGTGAACATTTGCAAAGACTGATCAAAGGTTAAGACTGTTTAAAGAGGATGGAGTGTTGTTTTGTGGACAGCGATGGGACTCGTACCTCTGGACGAAGCCCTCCAGCAGGCTGTGCAGGACGTGGCTCCTGTACCTCATGAGCTGGACGTCCTGCGGTGTGCTGTCCACGCACTGCCCGTTCAGAATGGGACGCTCAAACATGTTGCTGAACTCCTGCCGCGTACCTGAAATACGTACAAGATCTTAGACCAAACAGCACCTCAGGAGGCGACTGCGTAACATAATGTCCTGCGACAGATGTGGTTCCCTACCGAGGAAGTCGGGTCGGACAAAGTCGACCATGCACCAGTACTCGATGAGGTTGTTCTGCAGCGGGTAGCCGGTCAGGACCACGCGGCGTCGGGTTCGGATGTTCTTCAGAGCCTGGGACGTGCTGGCGTGGCAGTTCTTGATGCGGTGGCCTTCGTCGCAGATGACCACATCTGGACCGGGCCGGGCCAAGGCTTTCTCAATACCTGGAGGAGGACAAGTGAAGACATTTACACCTGACAGACTTCACACCGAGTGCTGCTGTGATGCGTAACTCCCCGTCCCTGCTTCTCCCTCGTCTTCCCCACTTCCTCCAACCTTTAAGCAGCTCCTGCTGCCTGTCCTCCTCGTCCAGGTCGATGACGACGGGTCCCGCTGTTTTCTTGCTCTTCTTCTTCCTTCCGGTCACGAAGCTCTTCTTCAGCGACAGCAGCCGGTACATCTCGTAGCCCATCAGCAGAACCCCTCCGTCCCGAGCCCAGTCCTCCACCACCTTGGCCCTGGTCGCTGTGTTCCTGCATCACACGAGAAAGACAAACACGGGTTAAAGTGAGATCTGCAACTAGAACTATAAAAAGTGTAAAATAACTGAATGAAAGAATGGAAAAAGAGCAAACAAGAGAAGAAACATCGTCTGATTTCCTTGTTTTATCACTCTGCACCTCAAAAGTTGCAAGCAGGTGTAAAAGGAGTGTTCTGCTTTTTCATTTTTTTTTAACAAAATCACCAAAAATATACCATTTATCTGAAAAAAAAATGGAAAAACGATCAGAATTGTCAAATTATCAACTTTCAGATGGTCTAAATCACGTGTGACTTTAAATCTAAGCTTAAGATTGTAAATTATCACCCTATGATGTATGTGTCACTTAAAAAAAATCTACAACAATAAACCATGTGCTCTAACCAGATTGTGTAAAAAACAAAAAATTCTGCACTCCCTGACGCAACTGTGAAGATATGAATGACTCAGCGCTGACAAACAGTCAGGTGACAAAAATTCTGGGTTGATAGGAGACAAGTGAGGATGATTTCTGGCATTATAACTGTGCCACACTGTGCTGAGCTCTCTCTACTTCTAGTCATGGTTGTGCTGTTTCCATAGAGGTGCAGGACTTTGAGGTGAAAAATGAGCCCACAGGGAGTAAAAATGTGACAGGAACAGAAAACGCCCAGAAACTGCTTGATGTTCAGAGGGTTAAACAAGAATCCCAGTGATTCCTGTTCAGATAAATTACAACTGTTTTGGAAAAAGGCTTGAACAGGAGGCGCCGATGCTCGTTGATTTATCTAATTCTCAACAGTCACACTCGCTGGATGCATCGTAACCGAACTGAGAGACAAACGAGGTCACTGTGTCACTTTCTGACAGCATCATGGAGCTGCACGCTCGTTTTGCAGAATTCCTTCCACCCGTTAATCCCAAACACACACTCACACACCACGAGAATCAGTAAATCTTTCCAGCAGGCGCAGCTGTTCGGAAAGAGAACACTGGAGAGACGTAAAGGAAGGTTGAGCCAGCTGGGGATTAAAGGCAGAGGCAGGCGAGAAGGTCAGCTTAGCGAAAAAGGAAAGTTTCCTCTCTGCTTTGACCCTGGTGAGGAACAAGGAACCTGCTGCACGACTTGTTTTGGTCTTTCATTCTTTCTTGCTGCTTTTTTAAAAAATCGATAGAAGGTCCCGTTTGGCTGCTCTGAAGCTGCCGCTGCGCATCTCGCTGCTGCGGCTCATGAACAGAGCAGGAAAGAAGGATTTAGGCTGCTCACTTGTGTTCGTCGTTGAGGATGTGAACTTTAAACGTCCGCGGTGCCACCAGCGCCGGGTCGGTGTCCGGAGGTATCGCCTCGGGGGGCGGGACCCACGTGTTGAACTCCGACAGCCAGTTCTGCAGCGTGTTCACCTGGGACGAGAGGAGGGGATGAAATAATCAAGACTCTCTTCTGTTTTTGTCCGTATTGATTCTGTTCACGTCTTATCCAGTCCTGAAACGATCCGCTGACAGAACTGAAGCTCCAACTTGATTCAATCATTTTAGATAATAAAAGACATAAAAACAGCAAATATTCTCTTTACAGCTTCACAAATTGTCAGTTTTATATGTATAATGTTTCATATTAAATGCCTTTAGTGTCCAAAATGGATATAATTATAACTCATTGTGTAATTTATGATCATGATTAATGGTAAATCTATGTCCTAGATCACTCAGTTAATCACATATTTGCTAATTGACTTAATAATGAAACACATAGTAGTGAACTGCAGCATTTTTATTACATTTACATCAAACTTTTATAAGTAATGTTTTCATTAAGATCCTTTAAATCTTCACCCTTTTTTGCACCACCGACCGGTTTCAAGCTAAACTATTTTCTACAAACTGGCCACATAAATAATAATTGTTTTTTGTATTAAAAAAGTGTCACAAGCAAATCGAATTACTTTTTATTGCTAAATAAGTATTCACTATTTCTTCCCTCTCAACATCTCATCCTATTTTCAAAGAAGCTCTTCAGAAAAGTTTGTTTGTTTTATTCATTTTTGGCAGCAGTTAGAATAGATTTTAACGGCCGGCCATGAAAACAGAGCGAGACAAGTGGAGGAAACAAGCACAGCTGGAAGTTACAAGAAGACGAGCTCGTCGTTTTTCAAAATAAAACACCCTGCAGACTCTGCTGGAAACAAAATAAACCAATAAAACATTTTCATTCTTTCTGTGCGGCCCGGTACCGGTCCGTGGCCCGGTGGTTGGGGACTGCTGCTTTAAATGACACCTTTATCATCCTAACTTCATATATATTGTGTTCAAGCCTTCCCTCAATTAATCTTTTGATTTAACTGACTTATACTCTTGTTTTTCATTTCATTTTTTCATTAAATTTTTGATGAACTATCCCGATTTTAAGCTTAGATTTGGTTGATTTTTTCCGATGAAAGTCACAGATGATAAGTTCAAGGACACTCAGAGAGTTAAAACATGACTATAATTTCTGTTTTGACAGTTCATTAGCTGCTCTGTGTAAATGCCGGCTGCAGTTTAGTTTAATTCAGTCGAATAGACGCTAAATTTCTTTTGATCGCAGTTGAATCAAACTGAACACTGATTTTTTTTGTTTTTTGATTTGGTTCAGCCTCAACCTGCTGAAGGCTTTTTGAATCTGCTGCAAGGTAATCAGTGTCTGGATACAGCTTTTTTTCTTTTAAATCCACTATTTGTTTGGTTAAACTTAACAACGATTAAGGAAATAAACTTCTAAATGCCTTCTACAAAACTATTATTTTCCCCCAAGTGGGACACTTCTTGTCTTCAATCCACACATTCTGTCAGTTCAACACGATATCTGGAACAAAAACTCCCACAGGTGCTTACAGGTACGATGGCGAGCACGGTGTGAGCCTGGGTGTGTCTGAACAGGACGTCGATGAAGGAGATGACCTGCAGCGTCTTGCCCAGGCCCATGCTGTGGGCGAGGATGCAGCCGAAGCCGCTGCTGCTGCTGAACCGCTCCACCGACTCCACCAGGTTGTCGTACAGGAAACGGATCCCGCCGATCTGAGGAAGAAGAGGAGGAGGAGGACGCAAGAGGAAGCATCGGGGAAAAGGACAGAGATGGTAAAACAGGAGAAAGGTGGAATTTAGTTCAAACTGTCAAACAGAAGAGATTCGGACGACTTGTTTTGGCGTTTTGAGGTATTTAAAGTGCAGAAAATCCTCGTACCTGGTGCGGTTTGACCACTCGGGCCAGCTGGGACGACAGGAAAATGTCTGTCTCTGCAGTCGGGTGGTTCAGATTGATCAGCACTCTGCCCTGGGCGTCGGGCTGGTTCAGGACGTCGTTGGCATGCGCCCCGCTCGGCTCGCTCTCCTCCTCCTCGTGGGCCGACTCGCCGCTGACGTGGATGACGGCGTCGTCCTCACACGAGCTCAGATCTATGACATCTGAACGGACCGAAGAGGGACAAGCAGGGAAAGAGAGATGACACCATTTTTCAGAGCAAGAAACTGGAAAAACAAAAAGAAATTTTCTAACTAATCAGGTGCGATTTTCAGTTTTGTGGTGGAAATTAAGCGAATCTCAGCTTAAAATTGTAAAATCATTTAAGAATTTGTCAAAGAAAATTCTGCATTCGTGATGCAACCAAGAAGGTGTTTGTGACTCGGCTGAGAAATTCAAAGAACTGAGAACATTTCCAGGACTTTTTGGCTGAACTAGGCTGACAGGAAACAAGTGAAAAAGGTGAAAACTTTATCATTTATAGCGGTGCGTTACTGCACAGAAGACAGTTCTCTCTGCTTCTAGTCATGGCTGTTCTGTTTCCATACAGACGCAGGACTTCATTGTGAAAAATGAGAGACAGGAGCGTAAAAGACAAACATTAATTAAAAGCTTTAATCTTGCAAACTGTTTTTTCTCCATCTAACTTTCTCTCGGACTGTACGCAGAAGGTTGCAGATGCAGAAAACTTTCAAGCATCTAAAGGCAGCAACGGCAGCGAGGACACGACGTTACACAACCTCTTTCTTCAGCCTGAAGACAATGAAACACTTCAGTGTCTCCAAACTTCAGCGTAACAATGCTGAACTCTACCAGACCTGTTTTCCACACACACACAGCAGATGAGCAAACAGCAATGCAGCAGTTTGGACCTCCAGCACTTTCTGCTCCTGTCACATTTCTACTCGCTGTGCGCTCGTGTTTCGCTCCAATATAAAGTCCTGCACCTCTGTGGAAACAGAACAACCACGACTGGAAGGAGACAGAACCTATAAATGTCTTATAAATGATAAACCAATTAAAAAAATAATAATTACTAAAGATTTTAAGAGAAATGTCCAACATGTTCCAAACAGCCCACAGCTGTTGAGGTGACTCTACATACCATAGATAGTTTACTGCTTGCATCTTTAAATAGTTTCCATATGAAGCCCATCTGCTCCATTAAACACAGCCTGCAGCTCATCCCAGCTCAGACAAACAGCCTCTGAATGTTTTCTCACGTCAGTTAAGTCATTCGTTTAAATTTTTTTCTATTTGTTACAGAATCTGGTGGAAGAAAGCAACTTTTTCAAACAAAACATGAAGATTTTTGCTGAAATATTGCTTTTTTAAACTTAGTTACTTTCTGCTTTTACAGCTTCCTAAACAGTCTTTGTAAAAACAACCAGCAGTTCAGCACAGTTTAGTCGAACAGTCGCAGTTAAATCATGAATGGAAACACAAAACATTAGGGATTTTTTAAATTGATGACTCTGTTTTTACCATTTCTTGCTCTGATAATAGTGTCATTTTGTTGATTTTGATTAAAGACAATAACTTTCAGGGCTGCAAGGTGGAGCGGTGGTCAGCACCGTCGCCTCACAGCAAGACGGTCGCTGGTTCACGTCCTGGTGAGGACACCCAAGATCTTTTTGGATGTTCCCTCCGGGTTCTCTGACTTCCTCCCTCAGTCCAAAAACATGTTGAGGTTAATTGGTGATTCTAATTGGGTGTCCCCTGCCTTCACCCTGATGGATAGACTCCAGCCCCCCATGACCCTCGTGAGGATTAAGCGGTGTATAGATAATGGATGGATGGATGGACAATAACTTTCATAAGGTTTTGGGTATCAGCAAACTAAAAGTAGATTTTAATAAATATTGGAAAACATTGAATTAGAGCTCTTAAAGACTGTTTATAATAACTGTTGCTGTGGTTCAGATTTAACTCTGAGACAATGAGACTATTTGCATGAACGGGGGAAAACTAACACGAAACAAACTGGGTAAGTTTTATTGCAGAATGACGAAAACCCCCCACAGTAACGCGACACAGCTGCACCGCTAACGTTTTGATTGGCCTTCACCTCGAGCAACGGGGTAAATGACGTGTGCGCCGATCGGAAAGACCAAAATCCATATCTGATAAAAACAGGACTTGAACGTCAAACGGTATCAAGTGGTGAAAGTTACACAAGCTGGCAGCCTGCGAGGGCACGACGGGAAGAGGTGGTGTGTGTGTGTGTGTGTGTGTGTGTGTGTGTGTGTGTGTGTGTGTGTGTCAGTATGTTAGTGTGTGTGAAAAAGAGAGCGAGCACTTATATAACTGCAGTGAATGGCTGGTTATACAAGTAGGATTAGAGTGGAGGGGGAGACTGGTTATGCAACCCCAACCAGAAATGTCACTGTGCCACTGTGGTGCGAGTGTGTGCGAGTGTGTGTGCGTTTATATATGCATGTGTGTGTGTGTTCTGGCTCATAACCAGGATTAGCCGGCTTTATTGCTCCACAGACCCGCTCTGATCTGCCCCACAGACACTCTTTCATCTCCCTCCGAGCTTCATTTTTTTTTGCTTCGCTTTTGTCTTTCCCAGCGCTCACATCTACGTCTTTTGTGGGGTTTGCAGGTGTGTGTCCCTGAAAGCAGGAATACTGTGTGTGTTTATTTCCTCTCGCAGTGTGTGTGTGTGTGTGTGTGTGTTTATCCTTGACTGTTTGAGTGGCTTTGTGCGTCTGAGAGAGTGTTTGTGCACTCGGGCAACAAGGGAACGGTACATGATGTACCCTGCGAAGGTTTAAATATTCTGATTCACATGGCAGCTAATTTGCGAAAAACTCCCTGCACTTTTAAAGCAGCCACACACACACACACACACACACACAGACACACACGCACAGACACACACACATCTGACAGGAAGTGAGGGAAGTTTTGACCTCAGTTGTTTAAACTTGCGCAGGCTGATTGACTTTAAAAAAAAAAAAGAAGCTGTGTGGTCCCTGGACAGAGTTCAGTTCTTACGGTAAACCAGCATCAGCCAAGTTTCTGCTAAAAATAAAATTCATGTAAAACCATCGTTACTGACAACAGAAAGTCACAAAAGAGAACCAGCAGAACCGTGTGTGGTCCGTGTGTTCACCCTGGAAATGTTTGCCGGAGGTAGAAGAGCTTTAAGAAAAAGATCTTTAATGAAATATCACGATTTAAAGCTTAGACTGAGTTGATTTTCCAGACAAAACACCAAAGCTAGACACGATGAGTTCAAGGACAGTTGAAAAAAATACAAGAGAAGCACTACTTTTTTTCTTTTTTATATTTTGTTGTTGTTGTTGTTTTTAAGCAGAATCTACAGGTTCTGGTTTCTGGAGTTTTTTTTTTTCAGAATCTGGTGAAAGCAAATGATTTACAAACACATTTAAAGTGAGGAGAGTTCTGACCTCAGTTGTTTAAACTCTGGTACTAATTGACTTTTAAAGTTTCCCAGACAGCTGTGTGGTCCGTTTGGTTACTTTTTTTGGCAATAATTACTACTTTTCTTTTGTTTTTTAATCAGAATCTGCAGGTTCTGGTTTCAGGAGTCTGTTAATATTTGCAGAATCTGGTGAAAGCAAATGATTTACACACATTTAAAGGGAAGTGAGGAGAGCTTTAAGAAAAACAGTTTTTGTAAACTATCATAATTTTAAGCTTAGACTGAGTTGACAAAACTTAAAACTAGACATGATGAGTTCAAGGACAGTTGGAAAAGTTAATAAATAAGAAAGATTTTTTGTTGTTTTTTTGTTTTTTGCAGAATCTGCAGGTTCTGGTTTCAGTTATTTTTTTGCAGAATCTGGTTAGAACAAATGATTTACACAAACATTTGAAGTGAGGAGAGTTTTCAGTTGTTTAAACTCTGGTACTAATTGACTTTAAAAGTTTCCCAGACAGCTGTGTGGTCCGTTTGGTTATTCTGGACATTTTTGTAGAACATAGAACAAAGATCTTTGATGAAGTATCCTGATTTTAAGCTTAGATTAAGTTATGTTTCCTGATGAAACCTAAACTCACACAGCATTAGTTCAAGGACAGAGGGAAAGATAAAAAGCGACAATAATTTCTTCTTCTTCTTCTTCTTCTTTTTAAATTTACAGTTTTTTCAGAATCTGCAGGTTCTGGTTTCAGGAGTCTGTTAATATTTGCAGAATCTGGTGAAAACAAATGATTTACACACATTTAAAGGGAAGTGAGGAGAGCTTTAAAAAAAAGATTTTTGCTATAATATCACAATTTTAAGCTTAGATTTTCCCGCCAAACCTTTAATTAGACATGAAGAGTTCAAAGACAGTTGGAAATGTAAAGCTTCCCATCTGCAGTTCAGTCAAATTGTTTATTTTTGGTCGCAGTGGAGTCACTCATGGCTTCATGGTTCAGAGCAACACTGGATTATTTTGTGATGAGAGCAAATGATTTACAAACACATTTAACAGGAAGTGAGGGGACTTTAATTTCTTTTTTTAATGAAATATAATATTCTTAAGGGTTAATTTTCCGGAAGAAATCTAAAATCAGACACAATATGTTCCAGGACGGCTGGAAAGTTAAAGTTTCCCATCTGCACGTTTGGTCTTGTAGCAGAATCTGCGTGTTCTGGTTTCTGGGATCTGGTGGGAACAAACGATTTGCACATTGGACAGGAAGCGAGGAGAGTTTTGACCTCAGTTGTTTAAACTTCTCTCGCACTTAATTGACTTTAAAAGTTTCCAAAACAACGCTGTGGTCAGTCTTCTTATGTTCAGCGAGCATCCACCAAGTTTGTGTCTGAAAATAAACTTCATTTCATACTATCTTCCCTTACTGACAACAGAAACCCTGAAACAAACAGCAGCAGAAATCGGTTTATTTCTGGTGTTTGCTGTTGGGAGGGGATCTAAGGTGAACGTCTGCCCAGTCATCTGCTGCGCTGTGGCTTCGGAGGGAAAAAAACAAAACAAATTTAGGTTGTTTTTTTTATGACTTTCCAGACCTCTGGGCTCAGATTGGAAGCAGAGTGTGTAATTTAATAAACGCACGGCTGTCAGGAGGCTGCTTTTCTTAATCTCTGAGCGACTGATGCTTTCGAGATGCGACGTTCCCACCAGACAGCCTGAAGCCGCCTCGAGCGCCGTGTCGGACCTCCACATTTCACCGCTGGATTGGATTTCACCACGGAGCCACTGCGAAATGTCAGCTCATAATTCTATAACTGTGCAACCTCACAAATGCCTACAGATCTGAGAAATCTTGACGATCTTGAAAAAAAAGAGCATCTTTGAACACAGCCTTTCACACGACCGCTGGCCTTTCACAGCACAGATGTAGAAAAAAACAAAAACAGCTGTCAGCAGAACAGCTGACGCACTTTTCCGCGAAAGTCACGGCCGCAATTCAGATTGTGACATAAACGCGTCGACTGTGGGACAAATTTGGTTTAATTATGCTTCATTAATCACACACAAGGCAAGTCGGTTTGATGAAAGTACAGCGAATGAGGCCAGATTTCAAGCTTTTGAGAAGATTCGAATGATGAAAAATGTGTTCACGGAGGGTTTTCTTCCCGTCGTTGTGCCGAATAAAAGAGAAAAAACGTCTTTGACAGTCACACGAATCATTAGATCGTCACTCGGAGCTTCTTCTTCTATATTTTTAGTGACATTTATAGTATCTGTTTTAATCCAGAACTCCTTAAATGCAGACTGTGGTGGCACCTCTTGTGCACCAGATGCTAAATCTCACACATTATTATTGCAGCTCTTTTCATACGGGTCCTCAACCTGAAGCCTGTGATTTAAAAGTGAAAAGTGCTTAAACAGACGAAGCCGATCACAAATCTGAAAATTCCTTTTTTATCTGACGCGATATAAATACGCCTTTAAACTGGACGTCATGTTGAAAAATGAGACTCTAATAAAGAATTATTTATTGATTGTGCTCAATGGTGTCTAAGATCTGCCAAAAGGCGTTTGTGGTGGATTTGAGGCAGTAAACTGAACCACACGGACACATCTGACTGTCCTGTGAGCTTCGTTTTTAAAGACCGAACACAGAAATGCTGGACATTTTTTCCGTCATCGTGCAGCTTAAACTGGCCACAAATTCTAGTTTTTTTCTCCAAATGTAGGCTGTTTACAAAACTGTGTTCATCCTCTGAGCCCACCGGCAGCTTTAAAAGCGATATAAAATTAAACTAAAAAACACCTGAATAGCATTTATCAGAGTCAGAAACTGTACAAACACAAAGAATCGCCTGATTTTTAACCCTCCGATGAGGCTTGAACTCCTAAAATGATCCAAATTTAAGTTCATCGCTGTGATTTCCATCAAAATTACTTGAAAATAAACTTTTTGCTTTAACCAGATTCTGTAAAAATCAAATAAAATGTCCACTCTGACACACGACTGATCACTGATCTGTTCTTTTTCCAGTGTTGGTGACACCTGTAGGCACTTGGAAAAAGAAAATCAGCTTTCATTTTCTACTTTTTTCATGATTTATAGCATTATAACTGTGTCATATTGCCCTACAGGCGTTTCTAAAGTCTCTCTACTTCTAGTCCTGGTTGTTCTGTTTCCATAGAGGTGCAGGACTTTATGTTGTTGTGAAAAATGAGCCCGCAGTGGGTAAAAACGTGACGGGAACAAAAAAAACGTCTGACTTAGATTGGAGTTTAGAGGGTTATGGATTAGGAAAAATAAAGGGAAACAAGATCCTGCATTGAAAAAGCCCTTCTACAGTTGCAGAGAACATGCAGCTGGATGACGGGTAACAGATTAACCTCACAGCTCTGCGTCCCCGTTTGCTTTCCTGACCTCCTGCAGCCTTCTGGCCTCATCGACCTACTGGCCCACTTACACATGGAGAGGCCAAAGAGTAACCCGGGCCTCCAACACCGGGACGGGTCGGACACAGTTCAGCTGCATTAACCACTGATGGATATACAGCGTGGTTAAAGGAAAAGAAGCCGTACTGTATCTGGTGTCTGGATTCTGCTGGAAAATTAGACTATTTTGGGTTCTTTAGGGTCTCTTTTCCGAAGTTTATATTGATTTTTCTGCTCTTTTTCTGGATTTTTGCTATTTTTCTTGCATAATATCTGATTTTAAGGGACATAAGGTACTGTTTATATGTAGTTCAGTCAGATTGTGTTCTGCTATGAAGTCACAAAGCAGATCTTCAGCCTTTAACACGTTTGTCAGAGCTTCAGATTTGCAAACAATGTCATCTGTAGCTGATTTTCTCTCTGATGTGTATTTTTCTGCTTTGAGAAGAATCAACTTCCTCCTAAACTTGTCTTAATGAGGTGATTTAGTCGTGTTCGTCTCTGAAATAGCTTAATCTTAAAAACACTGATGCAAATGCAAAACAAAACACCTGCTTTGTGACAAGGACACGACACTTGAGTCATAAAAAATACAGACAAAAAGACAGAAATAAACAAAAAATCCTTAGTTTCAGTTGCTGAAATGTATGTTATCTGATTTCAGTAGCTCATCAGGTGATGCTGAAGCGACTTGCTGATCTAAGATGCTCCAAGACAAAGCCGACATCAGTGCGTCTCACCTGTTTTGTGCTCTTTAGCTGCTGCTGTGGCTTCGTCGGTCTTGCTGTCGTCCTCTCCGGTGCTGCTGGAGTCCACGCAGATCACCTCCTGTCTGCTCGGCTTGACCTCCTGCTGAGAAGCCGCCGCCGAGGCCGACGATGACGACACGTGCTTCGTCACGTCGCCTGAAGAGAGGCACGGGAATGACAGATCAAGAAAGACGTCAGAATGTAATAAAAATGAGGAAAAAAATTCAGCTCTTGGGAACGATATCAGGCTTCATCTGTGTTTTTATTAGTTGGGTTTTCCCTCCATTCATTTGCTCATAAACCGTACAGGATGTACAGATACATCAACGTATGTGTGGGTGAAGTTTAACCAGGCGGTCGGCAGATTGCAAAGCAGAACTTCATCACATTTGTCAGGGCTTCAGATCGTCTGTGGCCGATTGTGCTGCAGTTTGCATTTAAAGTGTGTGTTTGCATCACAGGCTGTGCAAAGTGCATATTCTTTGCTGTGTGCCGCCGCCACGAAAGTGATCATATCTAATCTATTTTGTTCCCAGCGTGCTACAGTATGCTAGCTGACGTGCAGGAGTTGGTGCTATCGGATGCAGCTGCAGGAGCATTTTTGTGCATTTTTTTTTTTGCGCTCACCAGTTGTGTATTCAGGCAGCAGCGGTACGGGGAAATCCTGTTTTCTTTGCTGCTCCAGACGTCGCCGTCTCTCCAGCTCCTCCTGCTGGGCGGCTTTGGTCACGGCCTCCAACTGATGCTCCCTCAGCAACTTCCTACGAACGAAACGCAAACAAAAATAATGTAGAATAGCTGAATATTTCTATAACGAGACTTATTAAAACATATTTTGGTTTATTAGCTCATTTACTGTATGACTCAGTTTCAGCGCTGTCAGTCGTGTCATTTCCAGATGTAGCAGGAAACTTGCTAGTGCTAAATAGCGGGCAAAGTTAGCAGCTAGCTTGCTAGCTAGTTAATGTAGCGAAACAGTTAGCAGCTAAACAGGCGTATATGTTTCTGAGAAGTCGGTGAAAACACAACCACAGCTTAATGTATTTTTTAGGCTAAAAGAGAAAACAAACTCTTCAAATTACTGGTGATGCTGTGAAATGTCTGTTAATGCGCTAGCGATGATAGCTAAGTCTCTTTTAGCTTGATTCTTTTGCTCCTGGTGGCCAAAAAATACACTAAATATGCAGCAAAATATCAAATTTGGATAAACTGTATTTTCTCATGTGTGAATGCTGGCACAAACGAGTTTCATTCTGCCCCTGCCAACACATTTATTGGCCGTTTTCTTGCCCCTGACACATTTTTATTCACTGTGGAGTTTGTTTTTTGCTGCAATATAAAGTCCTGAACCTCAATGGAAACAACACAACCATAGATAGAAGTAGCAAGAACTCAAAAATTGTCATTCGTGCAGTACGACACAGTTAAAATACCATAAATCAAAAAAACTGATAATAAGAAAGTTGAATTTCCTCAATTTTTAATTTGATAAAAACTGAAATTGGCACGTACATTTTTTTTTAAAGTGCCTACAGGTGTTACCAATGTGGGGGAAAAAAGGAAAGTATTATACGTATTTTACGATTCCTGTTTTTAGTTTGTTTCCAAAATGGCCGCCTTTCTGCTCCGTGTAAACACTGCCTGCAGTTCAACCAAGAAGTCTCTGAATTTTTGTCATCTGACTGTTCGGTCACGGCTTTTTTTTTGTTTTGTTTTGTTTACAGAATAATAAAAATGGTTTATTTTTGACATTTTTTTAAAAATATGATGCAGAATAAAGGAACGTTGATCAAATATTGCGATTTAAAGCTACGTTTTTGGCTAATTTTACGAATAGAATTTGTTCAAGGACGGTTGAAAACTTGAAAATGTGACAATTCTCTCTTTTTTTACAGTTTGTGCCTCAGATAAACGGTTTAATTGGCGATAACACACATTTCATACTTTGCAGGGGATTTTGGAGTGTGGAAAAAATATTTCACAACAATTCCGGGAAAATTTTTGTAACAGATAATTCAAACCATTTTTCCTGCACCACTCGCGTAAACAGTTAAATATCTTATCAGTGAGGGAAGTACAGGCAGGGAATTAAACCCAGAGCTTCCATCTCTGGCACATGGTTCATATTACTCCTAACACGCCGTTATGTAAAAGCAACAGCATATTTGGGGTTGAGCTATATCATGTTTATTGGCAGCCTGGAGTGACGAAGCTGCGCGCCGAGCATATGTATAATCAGGGACAGACTTCTTCGGTAATTGGCCAGAATTAGAGTGAAATCTGAGAACGAGGGGAAGAGGAGAGGAAGAATAAAAGATATACAGCAGCGATATGATGAATCCTGTTATCCGGCCGCTGGGTGTTATTAGGAATACAATAAGTGTTGAATAAGCGGAGTGGATGTTAGTTTACTCTGCGTGTCGGCAGCAGCGTACCCAGAGGATTGTGTGGTAATCCTTTTTATCTCAAGGTTGACCGGTTACCGCGTGAGTCAGACTTGTTTTCTAAAAACTGGTTTACTCGGCCTTCAAGTGCAAATGCAAAGTAGTTAATCTGTTATCCCAACATCTGTGTCGTAGTAGTTTCCTACATGCATGTTGTGTTGAATTAACTGGGTTGTGATTGTTGGTTACACTACATGTGTCCTGCAAAATATACCTTTCATAATTAGTTAGTTAGTTAATGATTTTATAAAGGTGACTCCGCAGACGATAACTGGTTCGTAACATTACAGCCGAGCCACTGATGTTTCTCAGCTGAGCATCTAATCACAGAACTTTGTTTTATAGAATCTGGATAATGCAAAGTATTTATTTTAGGATTTTTTTTGAGTGAGATATGTAGAATAAAACAATTTTGATGTCATAAACCACAAAAAATCTAAATTAAAGTTGATTTTTTTTGGATTACTGGTTGTACAAAAACTCGGTAAACCTGCAACCTGCATGTGTGAGATCTTTTCAAGTTGTTACAGACACTAGAAAAACTGTGGTGATCCGAGTCCGTTTCAGGCTGGGCGGGGCTGTTGGACACCTGAGGCTCATCATTAATCAGCGCTGGATGAAGCCTGCCTCCACCTGTGCTCCAGCGCCAGTGGATTATTCCTCCCTCGAGTGGCAACAGGCCAGCAAGTTGTCTACAGAAACTGTTTGCTAGAAGAGACTTGCTTTGTCTAACTGTGATTTTGTCTGCGTTTATGCCAGAGCCTCCCTGTTGGAGTGACGCCTCCTGGACCCAGCCTTCTGCAGCCAAGCTCCAGCCTCAGCAGTTCTTCCCTTCTGGTCCCTTTGGAAACCTCCCCTGGAAAACCCTCCCTCACTCAGCTACCCTCACGTGCTTCCTGGTGTCCACCGTGTTCTTGCAGCCACCAATAAGTCCTTTTTGCTTCTAACCTAACCCCTCTGTTGCATAACAAAAACAAGTGGGGACATACTGTCGATATTTTACTATTTATATTTCTAGTTTGCTTCTGCGCTTGCCTCCAGTCTGCTTCGTGGAAACACAGCCTGCAGTTCAGCCGAATGGTTCCTGGTTTCTGTCATGTGACTGTTGGTTGCAGCTGAGTCACTGATGATATTTTTAGTTTTTTTACTGAATCTGATCAGCAGAAACGGTTCATTTTTGGGAAACTTTTAAATAAAACAAGTTGATGAAACATCGTGATTTTAAGCTAAGGTTTGGTTAAGTTTACTAAAACAACAGCACAATTGAGATGAGTAGTTTAAGGACTGTTGGAAAGCTGAAAAAGCAACAATTTCTTCTGTTTTTGCAGCTTCTGGCTCTAATAAATGGTGTTATTCGTGCGATTTTTAAAAGATGACGTGTTTTTGAAACCCATCAGTAGGTTTTGGGGTTCAGACAGTGTTACTAGAATCACCAGCAAATATACAAACACGTTGGCGTCCATTAGAGCTCCTGGACCGAGGCCATGTTTGAGGTCTCGTACCTGATGTTGCGTCTCATGTGTACAGGTTTGGAGCTCCTCTTCTTGGTTCCTGTCAGGGCGGAGGGAGGCGAGGGGCTTTGGCTTGCCGGCCTGGAGTGGGGTCTGGACCCGGGCTGGGATGGTGGGTGAGCCGGCGTCTCCGCCGAGGGTGAGGTAGATGGGGGAGGGGTGCACTGCCACACAGCCGGGTCGCCGCCCTGAGCCTCATTCTCGGAGCTGAAGGGGGCGCTGTGGGACTGGTCTGTGACGGGGACATAAGACAGAACAGATGCTGTTAATTCAAAGTGTGATAAAAGAGTAAAACAGGACACGGTGTAAGTTATGAGTTCAGATTGTTGTCGTCCATGATTCTGGGTAACATTTACAAAAAATATGGTGTCTCTTCCCTGCCTTCACCCTGAGTCAGCTGGGATAGACTCCAGCCCCCCATGACCCTAGTGAGGATTGAGCGGTGTATAGATGATGGATGGATGGTTTCTCTTGGTGAAATACGCAAACAGAAAATAAAAGATGCAACAGTTTTATAATCGTACAGAACAGTCAGATGGAGATGCTTTAAATGCTGCAACGGAGAAGAACATTTTTTAAAGCACATTTTCCCCCCGATATTCTTTAAAAGCTACAAGATGCTTGTTGTCTTTGATGTTCCGATAGAGACTGAGCTCACTAAAGTCCAGTTTATGCTGCACAACAAAACCAACATGCTAGCCAGCTGATGTTCAAGAACGTCTCCGTCTACCAAATGAAGCAAAGAAAAGCGTGGAGCAGCGTGCATTGTCTTTTATTACAAGGAACATTTTAAACAACACCGACGGTCCTCTACAGAATTATGAACAATGCAGCCCCAAAGCGTTGATGTTAAAGCACCTTTTGAACCATTTTAAATTCAACTGAACTGCTAAACAAGTGCTGCACAAATCATGTGATCTTTTTCTAACATAAAAATCCACGTTGTGCCTTTCTTTGGATGAATATTCCACTGCTTCCTCTATTACACATGAAAAAAAAATCCGTTCCAGGTGTGATTTTAACAAATAAACAGCTTTTATGCCAGAAGAAAGAAGAATCTAGTGTCTGCTCAGTGACAATAGCTGTGAGTTTTGTAATACTCGAGGAATTTGTCATGAAACAGCACTTCATTGTCGCAGCTCAACAAACCAAACTACCAAAAAGAATCGACAATACATTTTACAAACTTCCAAATTCACGACGTCTTCCAAATTCAGGACATCGTCTAATTAAAATCTGGGCAGATGAGTACGACTGAGTCATCAGACTGAATTAAAAAGTTGTTCTGGCTGTGTAGTGCCACCTACACTTTGTTCTCAGAAACGACAGCGACTGAAGTTGCACGCCTCGTAATTATAACTGTCAATAAACAAGAAGAAAGAAACCATACAAACGAAGTACCGACAATATCCTCGGCCAGTTTTACTGGATCACCGCTGAACTGTTTGTTCATTGTGATCTGTTCTCTTGTCGGTTTCGTGCAGGTGAACATATTTGTCTCTGTTCAGTTGGGCTTGTCCTGAGGTGTGGATGCAACACTCCTCTTCCATTAAAAACCTGGCAAGGCCACCTGGCAGAGTGCTGCAACAGACGAGCCAACTAAGTAATAAGGTTTTTCTTTTTCTTTTATTGAAGGTATGATTGGAAATAGCTGAAACAAAACCACACCATCGCTGCTAAGTACGAAATGCAAAGCAGCCCACAGACATTTTATCTTCAAACCAGGATGGCATGTTTGAAAGGCACGTTATGGTGGGAAAAAAAGCCCGTTTCAGATTCCTGTTTCATCATGAGGATTAAAATCTAGTTTTAAAGTTGTGATACTTCATCAAAAATCATTTAACGTCACGTTTAAAGTTTGAACAAAAATAATATTTCCATTAACCAGATTCTGGAGGGAATAAAAAACAAAAACAGATCTTCACAAACCTTCAGAAAACCCACGTCTCCATCGTCTACCTGAGACAGGATCGATCAAACTTATCTCTATTTTTGTCAAGTCAAATCCACTCAACTTCATTTTGATTGATATTATCTCAAGCAAACAACAAAAAATACGTTTTCTGAAAATCTACAAAAAATCGCTGCGTCATGTGACAAATATTCGGGAACTTTTCAGCTCCACTAGGATGAACTACAGCCTGTGTTCACACAGAGCAGATGGGAAACAAGCAGGAAAACATCTGTAGTACGTAGAGTCACCTTTACTTTCCTGACTGTCTGAACACTTGTGGGCACTTGAAATGCAAACTTCAGTTTTGTTCCATCTCTGTAAAACAAATAAATAAATTCTGCTATTTTCTCTGAACAAAAGACAATTTAAAGTTCTCTCTACTTCTAGCCATGGTTGTGCTGTTTCCATAGAGATGCAGGACTTTATGTTGAAGTGAGAAATGAAGCCCACAGTGATTAAAAATGAGAGTACAAAAAAAAAAAACTATTAGGAGGGTCACACTGGTGTGACTTCTTGATCTGCTGGAGGATCTAACTAAGTGTTCAACTAAACGACATCAGTGAGAGTCTGAGCCAAAATCATGAAAACTGTTTAATCTTAATTTGTCAGCTTTTTTCCTCAAACGCGTCTTCGGTTGTCTGTTTCTTTTTCCCCCTCAATCTGCCTGTATTTCACCTTTCTTCTTCTTCTTCTTCTCTCCTCCTCCTCCTCCTCCACCTCCTCCTCCTCCTCCCGCTCTCTCAGTTGTTCTGCCAGAAACACACTGAACCAGATCTGAGGCTTATGTAAGAGTTGGATCATAAATATGGACGGCTTATGAAACACAAGACAGGACACAAACACTGACACACACACATTCCAGAGGACAAGTGTTCACATATTAATCAATACATGAATATATCCGTATAAACGTGGAGGTCGGCGCAGCCAAGAGTCTGCCGGAGACGACTGGACAAAAAAAAAAAGGGGGACGCGCCGCCAAAACATTAATTCTCAATTTCAAAAGAGTCGCATACGAGACATGTTCACGGCGTGACACCTGGCATGAGGATGTGCACGCAGACGGACACACATCCTCGACATAATGGAGCATGGAGGCTGGTGATGAGCTCACCGCCAACTGAAAAACAACTTACATAAAACGCCCCTTCAGCGCATCTATGTGATAACAAACTTCTTGATCCGGCTGCTAATGACACCAGCTCAATGCTTCTTGGTGTGTCTGTCGAGCATTTCGAAGCGATTCTTTTCGCAATAACTCCCGTGTAATTAGCTATATGTGGAGCAAAAAAGTCGGTTAAATCACCGTCATGCCTCTTTAGAACAATCCTCTGATGTTGGTGCGTCAAAGGTTAGAAAATGTTCAATCTGCATTTGGACAAACATTTAATCTTGTCAGTCATCGGCCATTGTTATGCTGATATTTTTCTTTATTTGAGAAATTTTGGTGCACATATCCATGATTCACTGCCTTAGAATCACAAGCATGCCTGTAGACTCCTAATGTGTACAATACATGGTCT